TCACTATGGTTCAAGACGAGCAGTCACATAGACCATGGAAGCCGAGTAGAACTATGACAAGCCAAAAGAGCAGACAATGTTATTTATAAATCACCATACCTTGATCCCAATCATGGCCTAAAGTATTCCAGTGATGGAATTCATCTCCTTTTGGAGAAAAAGGATCGGACAGGGAAGCTGGAGAGGAAGAAAGGGAGGAGACAGAGTAGAAAGGATGGTGGGTACTATCGTCATCATCTTCGTAGAAGTTGTAACTATGCTGCTCATGGTTTTGATTAATAGAGTTCAGATCCTTCCAAGCTGGGACCAAACCAGAAATTTCTTCATCTATCATATCAGCAATCTGATATGGCTTCCAATCAGTTATTTCTAATTCTTTAACCATTTCTGAAGCAACGTCCAATGCAGTATCGCTTGAAATATCGAACGGGAAGTATATGTTTCTAGCATTACCTGTATTGCCAATATTCAAATTAATTAGGGAAGCTTCGAACGACAAAATCCATGAAAAACACAGTGCAGACACCCTTAGCAACTATAATTTTGTTAGTTTTAGTTTTATGCAGAACGCTTCTCAACCTAAATCGTCATTTTCTAAATTAATCCTCAACCAGTTCTTCCTCTCATTAGTTGTGCATATAAATTTAATGATCTTCAATTCAATTAATTATATGTTAATGCAAAACATAAAATTACGGGGTGTGATCCAGTACCATCCTTATCCGAGATTTGTACTTTGAGAAAGATGGCGTCGTCTTCTGAATTAATGGTCCCCGTAATTGTCATGTCACTTGGAATGGTCATGATAGGCAATTGCTCGACTTCTTTACGAGCAAGAAATGGATCCATTAATAGGTCATGTGCATTTGGCCGCTCAGTAGCATTCTGTAAGCATCTTCCAATAAATCTCTGAGCTTCGACATCAGTAATTCGGTAGAATGCTGCCGGTAACTTTCCCTATTGGTTGCAGGACAGGATGACGATGAATTTCAGCTGATGTTTGCTGGGAAAGATCAATTTTAAAGCAAATTTAAGGTAATTACCGAGGTGACTTTCTTGTAGATTTGAGCAGGATTAGAGCACTCGCAGTATGGATATTCAGAAGTAAGCATTTCTAGTACACACATGCCAAAAGAGTATATATCTACCAGCTCATCATATTCCTCTTCATAAAGTTCTGGTGCCATGAATTCAGGTGTACCTGATGCAATTCACAAGGCAATTAGTTACATCATAGGATTTACGCCTATTTTACGATTCATGGTATATATAAAACCACCATAGGGATAGAAATAAACAATAAAATCAAGAACCTAGAAAACTCCAAAATTGGATAGTAAAAAAAAAAAACTTTTTAGATTGTGTCATG